AGTGAATTTTTCGGATTTTCAAATTATAGGGCGCTTTCATCAGAGTGCTCCTTTAATGTAACAATTAGCGTCAAAATTTGTTATAATTACCCTCCTATCTTTCTTCATAGATCTCACGAAATCGCCAGCCGCAGAAAAAGTTTTCCATATATATTTACTGGACCTTTTCCCTTCATTTATTTCAGATGGGTGACAGTGAATGATGTGTTAGCGTGCGAAGAACCTTGTTTTTTCTGTGACACTTGTTTTAAAGGACTTCATTATTCACAGAGCGGAGAGAAAATCTGTGATTTTCAGGCTTATCCAGTGCTTGGAGACTTTGACTGGTGATTCAGTGTCAGAACTTGGTTATCGTGTCGTGCTCCCAGTGAAAAAAGACACACATAGCACAGTTGGAAAAGCCAGCTCAAAAATTTACATCTTCTGTGTCCTCACCTGTGATCCATAGCCAACGCAATAACAAACTCGTGAACCGTCCCTGTTGACGGCCAATATTTTGTCATAGACATTCCTTTGTAAAGGCATAAAACCATACAAAGAACCGGACCATGTTTGGAATGTTATCCGTTTAAGAAAGAGAGTTTTCCAACGCTATTCAAATTCATTCAGGTTGAAATGTTGATGACAATGATTCCATTTCCCGAAACTAATGTGGGTATCTGAGGTTCGAATCGTCTGGGGGATTTATACTTTTCTTTACTGCAGTGCAAGCGCATATCAGATGTTTGAGGTCGTATTCCCGTCGTTAATATGGAAAATTTATCAAATACGTTCAAAGGAAGAAAGAAAGATCTGGATTAAAATATTCACAATTGTCTGGTTGATCGATGAATAAAGTTGATTTAAGGATTCGTACAAATAAATACAATTTTATTTTCAGTTTCAATTCGTTCCTGTCGTTTGTGTTTTTTTTAAAGTTATTTGAATAAGTATCGAAGTACGACCACTGAAAAATTTCCCTTTCCATTAGTATTAAGACATGCTATTTTTTATGTTTAGATATTTATTTAAACGAAACTTTTTTGAAGTGCATTGCCTTTTCGTTTGCTGTTCGCGTGGCCAACGCGCCATGGGCGCAAGCGTTACAACCCAACGGATGTCGGACGAAGATCGATTGAAGCGGCAAAACTTACAGAATGAACTTAGCAAGATGCAACACAGTTTGCGAGTGACGTCAGCGGCTCATTACTTATCTTCAGAGCACTATAGAAGCCTGGATACGAAGCTTCAGTATGCGTCAGTGGTCTTGGGAAGTGTTGGGACCGCTGCGAGCGTGGCGTCCAAACTGGCCTGGAAAATGATGGTTTCAAACAGTCCTCGTCTCGCACCGATCGTAGTTGCGACTTCCACGACTTCGGTACTCTTCACAGCTGTTGTAAATATACCAAATGTACAGAACTCGCCGGCAAATATGCACCAGGCACATTTCAAGTCCGGCATACAATGCCAATACCTCGAGAAGCGAGCGAAGTTTGTGTCGGAAATGGAAGTTTGGGATACAACGATTTCTTGGCGCACCCTTGCCGCCAAATACGATGCTTTGCTCAAGGAGAAAAGAGAAGTGAACAGCCAGTTGCAATCGGAGTATTGGGCTTACCGTAAGGCGCTAAAAAATATCGAGGAGAAACAAAAAGAAAAGAAGAGGAAAGAGGCTTTTTAGCAGAAACCGGAACGTACTCAACCGAATTTCGGTTTTGCTTGTCATCAGAGCCGGAATCAAAAAAATTGAACGCTCCCCTTTGGATATAAATTTACACTTCCGGATAGAAACTGCGATCGTCAAAGCGGGATTTGGGTTTCGATTATTTTGAGATGAACTAAAATTTGTGAATTTTTCCTTTCAGCAGACACTTTCCATTTCGACATTATTATGTTACTGAATATCGTTCACGGTGTCACAGCACAAAATATATGCAATCTGCAATAGGCCATTGTTGTAAACGTAATAATGTTACCTTTACATAAACTTAGGGCCTATTTCAATTTTTAGTTGTATAATAATCTGAGCAATTTGCTACTTCTTGTTTCTAGTATTTTATATTTAAAATATCACTGCCGTGACGGTATGCTAGCAGATCATCCCAGTTCACTACGTGACTATTAAAGTTCGCAAGGAGTAACCTAACCTTTGGGACTCCGCCATTTTGAATACTGCCCAGCAACCTAGCGTCTTAATTATGACGTAACAAAGTCTCACCTCTTTTCTTTTTATCCTTTGGCGATCTTTTAGTACGGTTATTAGCCGTTTGAAGAAATAATTTTGGGTATTTCTTTTTTTTAATTTCATTTTTTGCGACAACCGAAACACAAGATATGCCTAAAACACCCATCTTGGTATGTGTGCGACTTGGCTGTCCAGTAGGTGGTCTCCACATGACAGTATCATAGTCACAACTCACAAGTGGAGACAATTCTGCCCTTTGTATCTAAAATGGGGTCAGTAGGTAATTTTCATATGCACTTTTTTACTAATGGAGATGAAAGGTACATTGTTTCTCCTCCAAGGGGCACCTAATCCTAGTCACTGGTCACAGGCTAGTAAAAAAAAAGTTTTTATATAGCTTGTCAAATGTGGGTTTGATCCTGAAATGAACAAAATAATGACCCGATGTGGAATATACCTGTAGCAAAAACATGTAGAGGAAGACTAGAAAGAAATAGCAACTCTTGTCGTTAATGGGTTGGTCTGTCAATCATACATTAAATTGTGGAGTTTTTAAGTTTTTTTTCAAGTATTAGTTGATTATTAATCAGCATTTTCTGTCAGAAAATGCAGTAACTTTGATTTCTCAGATCTTATGGGTTTTCAGGATGAGGCATTTTCTTGAGAAGTCTAAGCTGTCATATTTATATTTAGTTCTTATTAGCCGAGCGGGAGGTCTGTATGGGAGAATCTTGACCGAGGTCGCCAGTACAGACCGAACGCAGTGAAGTCTAAACCAGCAACCGAGGTCAATATTCTACCATAGACCAACCTAGCGCGGTTAATAAGATGTTTATGAGGGTCCCCAATAGGTTTTTCGGGATCCGGGTTTGGCTTATTTGAAGGCCGGGATTCGAGATTTTGAAGGAAAAGGGGGACGAGATTCGGGATTGTATTTATGACCGGGACACGGGATTTGGCGATTTTAACAGGCGGGAATCGGGAAATGTCGCTATAAAGAAAACGAGATTCGGGAATTTCAGAGTCTGAAATATGCAAAGAAAATCAAGCTGTCATCTTAGCTAGCTCATCTTATTAACGTTGGAATGGTCGGAAATAGCCGAACAATGACCTAGTTGACATCCAAGTTTTCCACGACCCTATCACGCTGCTCTGTGACCCCTATGGTGATTTGTGGTCTATTTTCGTGAACCTTGGACACCTTGGCCGTAACGAGAATCCAATTTGACAATGTCTTTGTGACCTTTGTTATTTGTTGACCGTGATATTTCTAATGTCAAGTTTATGCAGATCCTGATCGGAGCCCGCGGGATATTCGACGCGAGGGAGACTAGCCAAGTTATCGTTTGCGTAGTTTAACGCGCCCTAGCGATATCGGTTAACATCGACAATGATGTTGTCGATGTTATTAGCTGCGTAGCTTTGTATTATGAGAAGGGGAAGAGCGGAAATTCGTTCAGTCCTCGTAAGGAGAAATTTCGGGCACAACTTCCACGGAAGGAGAAGACATTAAAGTCCGTCAGAGAAACAGTTAGGTAAGTTCTGTTTCTTGCCTTTACTAATTTAGACTTTTGGAACTATTACAATGCGAATGAAGACAATGAATTGCGAGAGCTTCGACAGTGATAAACGACGCTTTTTTGTGGTCTATTTTAGCACAGGCAGCCCAAGCTCTCTTTGAGAACCACACAAGGAACACAATTTGCATATCGATTTATAAGGATTTGTATGGGATTTTCTACAAGATAGCCATAGAGATAGTTAAAAGTGACAATATTATATAAAAATGGCTTACCTTATTCCATACGTGTATTGCTTGCTCCTGGTGACGTTATTTTACCGATTTCAGTTGATTTAATCGGTTTTTTTAATACTGGTTTTCTCTTCTTAATGAGGAGACTTTAAGAAGAGAAAACCAGGATTTTAAAAAACCGCTTACATCAAGTGAAATCGGTAAAATAACGACACCAGGAGCAAGCAACACACGTATGGAATAAGGTAAGCCATTTTTATTTAATATATTTCACTTTTAACTATCTCTATGGCTATCTTGTAGAAAATCCCGTACAAATCCTTATAAATCGATATACAAATTGTGTTCCTTGTGTGGTTCTCAAAGAGAGCTTGGGCCACCTGTGATTTTAGCAATGAGTAAAGGGCAATTTCGCGTAGCATCATGTTTCCATCACGTTTCCAGACAAACCAATGACCTCAGTAACCAGACATTTCACTGCAGACCATGCTTGCTTGTTTCTGTTTAATTTTGAGGGTTTTCCTTTGGTTGATTGTTGTCTTCTTCTAAATATAGCCGCTTCTTATAATCCTTCGGGCAGTCGCTATTGAAAGGTTCTAAGTTGTGCGTTTTGATTTGTTAAACGTCCCCAGTAGCCGAAACCGACGAGAGGCAGCCCTTTTTGCAGGCTATAAATACTGTTGAATTATGCAAGAAACTTTGGAAATGCAGCCCCAGAAGGTATTAAGAGAACGACCCATTGGGCGGCGATCTATTTTACAAATCCAAAGTTTTGGTATCCTGTGCCCGAACGCGCCATGTTTCTGTCGGCCAGGCCTGTTATACAACCCTTGCCAGCTGTACCAATGACACCACAGTGTGTACAAGTTATGAGGGACTGGGCACAAACGTTTGGTGCTGCAGTGCGTCAGCGCTCTGTCAGCCAAGAGACAACAATAGCAAGAGCCAGAACCATGCCTTCCTACCTCTACCAGAGAGAGGTGCGACCGGGTGAGTCAGTCTCCCTTGAACGCTTCGGGGAACAACGGAGAAACGAAGCCGAAGAAGCAGACGAGGAAGACGGCATACTGGAGTACGATTCAAGCAGTAGCGAAGATTTGGATGACGAGTCTACTAATAACGAAGAGGCCGACGATGATGACGTTGGTGGAATTCCGTCGTTGGATCGCGAGGCAACTTTTTTGCTTGGAACGGTTTCTTGTTTCGGAAGAACTGTTCGCTTCAATAACAGAATTATAGTTTAATTGCAGCGAATTGCTAAAGAAGTTCCTAGATGATAGCAATCATCAAATAAACATTTCGCATTAATTTAGCCGCAGGTGACCAAAGCGTACTATAAGAGTTTGTATGGATTTAAAATTTAAACTATCCCTGTTTTTCCTTTGAAAGCTACAATACAGCGACGCGTACTCTTTATACGCGTCAAAATCGCTCAAATGGCTTACAGAAGCATTTTGGCAACATAAAAAGGACACCACTTAGAGAGGTTCGAACTTTATCGTAGCTTTTCAAAGGAAAACAGAAATAGTTTTCGTTCGAAATTGAAATCCATACAGGCTCTTATTTCAACCTCTTATAGTACGCTTTGGTTACCGGTGATTACGGCATTTTGAGCCG